GTGCAAAACCAGACACCTTGTCACCTACTGCATCCTCACGGTACGCAGGACAAAACACACTGCAATATCCCCCTGGGAAAAGTCAAGTTGTGCTTATCTAGTTGTGTAAGCTTTCACAACAACAGGACACTGCTTTATCGTTCTTCAGCTATTAGAAGCAACTTCAAACTCTGAGTGCTCGCTGACTAGTGAGTTATTTTCTCACCATCTGTACAAAGTGTCAGATCAGACCTTACTGCCAGAGAAAACCCTTCTGGACTGACAACATACTGTACTTTAACCAGAGCTTTAGGCTCTAGTGACTGCTGACAGAATTCAGAAAGTGACTTGTTTACTGTGATAATCCCTGTCAAGAAGACATTACAGAACAGAATTTCTGGCTACAATAAATAACGTTGGCATTACATGACTACGGACAAATATGCTGCATTAAAGTCAAACTACCTTACTTCTCTCTGGGAGAACACGCTCTGTTCCTGGACTGGACTGGATTCAGTGAACTTGGATCAGAAGAAGGACCTGTAGCACTTCTCCTCACTGGGGTGTCGGCATTCATAGCATACTTTACCACTGTCTCACTCTCCGACTTGTGTGAATCGCTTAGCCTTTTGTGCTGGCCTTGGGAATATTTTGGTCCCCTCCTTTCAGTGCGGCTCAGACTGGTTCGATGTGTTCTAACCTTGCGGGACTCCTTGCATCTGTCTAAACATCTCCCCCTGAGCTCCGGCTTCAGGAGGGCCAGCCCTCCTTCCAGCCCTCATGTCTTCCAGCCCTCATCCTCTTGCGGCTCAGGGGGGGTGAGGGGGCAGATCAGCTTCCCACCCACGTGATGCCATCGGAGATAAGAACTTCAGGAGCACGACAAAGGGAGTCTTTGTTCAGGTGCAGGCGTACCTCCCGGTGCCCGTGGCCTGGACTGTTGACTATGATGTCCAAGGTGACTCAGATTTTTAAGTCCCTCACAGATAAGATTTATTGCTTTTTCATGATGGACTTCCAGGTTCATAAACCTCTTCAAGGCCTGAGGCCAATCCGTCCCTCCTGATACAGGCAGCTACAATCCAGAAGCAAAGGACGCAACGTGGCAGCAGGTCCGTCCATTTTCTCTCAAATGCTTCAGGTCACAGGATAATAAGGAAACTTTTGATTTTTGTGGTACTTTGATCACAGCTGAAACCCAAGAACAACCGGGCAGTGATGCCCCCGCCCAAATAACAAAATGGACGCTCAAGAGACCTGCTTTCGGTTTGCAGATGTGGTTTTGGAAAATATGTCTTTGCTTCTTCGCTGGCTGAGTTTGAGTCTGACGCCAGACACAGATTGTTTTAGTGTGAATCAGCGATCCCTGTTACAGGCCCAGTAGATGTGAGCTATGCATTCTTCCTGTTGTAGGAAGAACAGTTTCCTTGTCCAAATGTCTCACCTGAATTGATGTTAATGTCGAACCCACAGCAGTTATGACTGCCTTATAACCTCTTTCTGTTTCGATCGTGCCAACACCAATAACCGTTGCACAATGCCAACCGCAACAGCGTGCATCGCAACAGAGCATTAAGCAGGACCTGAGCAAATTCCTGCAAAATCACAGGTGCTCACATCTTTCTGTCAAGTGAAGCGCACACACGGTTTTTGCTTTCTGGGCAAACTCTCCTTCAGCCGAAAACAACAGCAAGCACCCTTCAGAAAAAAAAAAGCTTTTGGGCCTCGGAGTCGTGTCTGAAGCAACGAGAAATGTGCTCATAACGAAGTCATTTGAGCTGTATCTGTTAGGGGGTCGTTCCTTACCTCTCTGCCTGGGGAGATGAAGGAAGACGTGGTAAAGTAATGAGGCAAAATTACACGTGTATTGCCGATATTTAAGCAGCTGTGACTGGAGTAAAAGGGAGTTAAGAGAGATTATTGACCCCTTTAAGGCACTAATGAATCCAAGCTGAATTTCAGGGCCCATTAATCACAAACTGACTGGTAACCTTTTGTAAATCCTGGTGTGTTGGAGTTTGCACATTTTTTGTCTGTGAAAATATAACCTGTGTTTACAATTATTACAGGTTTAATTAACGTGTGTTTTTTAGCTTTGCACCTTGTAATTCTTTTACAAGGCGGGTACGTGTGTGTGTGTGTGTGTAAAAGAAATAAGAAGGCAGTGAAATAGAGCCAGCTCAGCCTCTGTGTGGCTGTTTGCCCACGGCCCTATAACCATGGCTCTGCTATATTTGTCCATGTGTCTCAGGGCGCCTGGTCACCCGGTGGGGTTTTCTGTCATGAGAACAGCATCACCTGGGCTCCTGCTGGGCTCCAGGGCCCGAACCACCGCAAAACCCAGAGGCTCACCTCCCTGCAGGAAAAGGGGGTGGACAGCGTGTTTCATGGAAATGATCTCTGGGGCATCAATGGACTCTTCAGACCTCCGCCAGCTCGTGGGCCTGATGCTCATGGTCTTGGGCTGGAGCACCCGTGTGCTAACGGAGAGCCACTGGTCTGCATGCGCCCCAAAAAACAGCAAACGGAGACGCCCAGCCTCTAGAAACTCTGAAGCACCGGGACCACACATCTGGGGGCTCCTGGGCCTTTGATTCTGACGTACTGGGTGCGGCGCGGAGGGGAGAAACACACGTTGGGTTTTCACGTCACTTGCTTCATCCAGGCGCGTTTCTTTCTCCGTCCCCGCCAGCCCAGGGCCCGGGCAGTGCAGCGGGTGGGCGGCTGAACCGCGGGGAAACAGGATTGCTTCTCCTCCCGGCCGCCGGCGCAAGACGCGCGACACAGCAGCGCACGCAGTCGGGGCTCGGCCGGGCGCAAGGAGCCCAGGGCCGGGATCTTTGCTCAGGTAGCGGGTCACACTTCCTTGACCTCTGCAAACAAGAACAATTCCAGACCGCCTCCTGCCTCTCCGTGCACTTCCTCCCTGTGCCTTTCCCACGCTCGCCAACAACAGAGGAACATCGAAGGAAATCTACTTGGAAACGCCATAGACAAAGCAAGACGACTGAAAATAGCGGTGGAGGGGGGGGGCTCGCTGCGCTTCCTCTGTGTGGAGCCAGCCCTGCCTGCGCCTGACGGAGAGAGGGACGGAACGGGGGGGGCGCATCGGCCTGTTCCGCGCAGGACAGCGCACCGCGCGGCGAAGAGCCCGTGGTGTCCAGGCTCGCGCAGGGACCGCAGGTGCGGCCCCCACCGACTGGAAACAATGGTTTCTCCCGTCTTGGACCAAAAACAATCCTACTGTCGCGTCTCTTACTGTTCTAGAAACACCAGGCTGGTATGGAAAATCAATTCCTAGTATATTGCTGCTACGGCTACCTGTGGGTTTTAGGATTTCCATAATGGGTGGTTAATGTGATTTTACGTATTTTTTCTCTCCCAAATAAGCTGAAAAAGAGCCGTTAAAAGATTACAGGGGAATGTGTAGTTTATTCTGGCGAAGGTTTGCAGGTTAAAACCACCGCATCTGATGTTCATCTGAGAGCCCGCTGACAGAGCTCTCGCGCTCTTTTCCCGGAGGTCCCTGAAAAAAACAAAAACCCCAACCCTTCGAGATTCCGTTTTCCCGCCGTTTCCAACGCCAGCCCGAAACGGAGACTGGGAAGAAGACACTTCCAAGGCGGGAGAGAAGGCCGAGTGAGCCCGCCAGACGCTGGGGGCCGTGGCGTGGCTGTGGGCGCTGACACCCGCTCGACGGAGCCGCGCTCAGCCCGAGCCACGCAACGTCGGACAGTGAGGATCCCCGGCATCGAACTTGGAAACCAACGTTTGATTTCCAATGAAAGATCGCAAATGTGCTCATAGCTTTTTTTTGTGTGTGTGTGTCAGGAAGGGAAGAATCGTGAAATGAAACAACGTGCATTCGCCGCACCCTCACGTGAGCAAACCCCCCCGTCTTACACTGACGGGACAGAGGAGGCTAACAAGGATCTGACGCCAGTAGCCACAATCCTCGAAGTCCGCGCAGCACACCTCTTCGGAATAAACACGAGCCACGGGACAGAGGAGAAACCACGTACTGTAGCAGCGCGCGCGTAACACTCAGAGAAGTCAGCGCGTTCTTACACAAAGAGTGGTGGGAGGGTGGAACACGCCACCCAAGCCATGCAGTTGAAGCCGTTAGCCTGGTTTCTTTCAAGACGCAGCATCCGGGTTGGGGTACCTGGACGAGATAGCTACGGCCTCCTCTCGTTTGTAGCGCTTCATGTGTATAAAAAGTGGAAGAACACTCCACCTACTGGACACAATATGAACTACACAGTACCAAGAGCTACCTAGGAGAGCGAGGTGCGCTCTGAATAGTGCGTTTATAGGCAACATGTTGCTCTGGTTCAGTCTATAAGAACTTTTGTCAATGGATTCGAAAAAGCCTTTGGACCAGCACGTATCCCCTCAAAACAATTATAACTAAGTACATTTTCAAAGATACACTATAACCCCGGGGAGCAACAGTCCATTGTAACACACATAAAAACCGAATCCTTCAACTTAAACCTCTTTCCAGGGCACATCAGCAGGTTGTTAATCATAGAGCAAATTAATTAGTTTGAGCTGTGCAGCTCAGCGCTATCATTCTGCCCCTACCACTGGCTCGCACTGATGTTTTTTCTGTAAGTTCTATGTTATTTAACTTGTTGTTGCTGCTGCTGCTGTTCTGTGTTTATGTTTTTGGCGATTCCTTTATTGTCTTTGTATTGGAACACACATGCAAATAAGCATTTCATTGTACTTGTGCATAGGACAATAAACTGAACTGAGCCATTGATTTATAAACCGAACTGAGCCATTGATTAATAAACTGAACTGAGCCATTGATTAATAAACTGAACCGAACCACTGGTTTGTGCGGGATATCGCAGAGCGCGGATCCGAAGGGCAACGGCTCTGAGGCGCGTGAACTGCCGCCGGTCGCGCATCAGCGCCTCGTGTTGGTCCAGCGGGCCGGTACGCGCGCGCGGTGGCTCGCGCTCCGAGGACAGCAGCGCCGCGAGCCCGGTTGTGTACACCGACGGACTTACCGCTCACGCACGTGAAGCCCAGCAGCAGGGCGAAGGTCAGCGCAGCGCAGACCTCCCGGTTCATCCTCCCGCCGGGCTGAGCGCCGCTGTCGTCCAAGGATTCCCTCAGCGCCTTGCCTCAGATGCTCCGCAATATGATGCGCACAGCGGCTGAATGCCAGTGACAAGATCTGAGGTTTTTGTTTTGTTCTTAATCCAAAAGGTGAGATTAAAACGCACCGTTGTTTTCCTTCAACGTAGAGCGCTCGGAAGGCTGCGCTCAGGAAATCCTCGCTGTCCACGAATAGCTCTCAGGTTTTCCCCCGAAAAGTTTCTTTTTTTCTTCAAAGCAGCTCCATAACAGCGTGATGGTGCGGCGCCGAGCGGAGCCCTCGCGTGGGCAGCCGTGCTGTGGCTCGGGGGTCGCGCGGGGGCAGGTGCCGCTCTCTCGCCCTTTTGGGTGCAGCGTGTAATGGAGAGCTCCTGAAGAAAGGTGTTTTATCCTAAAAATGTCGTTTACGGGCAGAGCGGTGTAGCAAAAGCAGCTGGACTCTTAGAACCAAGTTTGATTGCACCCAGCGAGAAAAGGGCACGGGGTGTTCTAAGAATATGTTTATCTCTGCCCCAGCGCAAAGGCGGATGCGAAACTGCCCTCTTTGATACGATCCCACGACAAGCGCCTCGCTCCGAGACACACGCTTATTCCACGAGTCCCCTTCGCTTCCCAGAGAAAGGAGGCAGGGAAGTGAAGCAACAGTCCGCGCAGTACAGATTCACACAGTTCACACACACATCTCTTCGGTGGGGTCTCCCTCTTCGGGTTTTGGGAGCTGTGGGCTGTTTGTTCAGGACGGAGTCCTTTATAGTCCAAAACAGAGGAAGGAGGGGGACGTCACTGGAGCTGGAGGGGCGATCGCCGGTACTATGACATAACACCGCTCGCTGTGGCGGAGCAGTGCTGTTCCTGCCCTGAGCCCGACTGCTCGGCTCGCCCGCTCAGAGGACAGACGCGTCCAGTCACACACGCCACGCAGCGCGCAGAGCCATTTCTTCTCCTCTTGCCTCCCCCCCGGCACACATACAGTATGAACCAGCCAGACCCCCTTGTCTGAACGTGAAGGGTACCATTGAAAAGACCCCCAAAAAAGAAATAAAATAAAACAGGGAGAGAGAAAAGCGCTCTGTCGCTCGGGGGCTCGGCTGGAGCTCGCGCCAGCCCCCTCCGCCGCGCGCGCCGGCGGCGCAGGTGAGAGCGAGCCCCGCCAGGACCCCCCGGTGACCCCCCCACTAAAACGAGACATCATCGGTGTAAGGAAACAAAAAAAAGACACACGACCCAGAACGACTGACGGCACTTCGAACGTTTCATTCTGAAGAGCCGTTTCACCCTCTTCACGAGATCGGCTGTCGTTGTTTCTTTATTGTGTGTCTTTCTCTAAAAACACCTCTCGGTGTAACGCGTGCTGGAGGGGGTGATGCACAGACCCGAAGGCAGGCGTTTGCGGATATTTTCGTCGTGGGCTGCGACGGGTCTGCAACACTTCGCCACGCTGTGTGCAAGCCCGTCCCCGCGAGTTCAGGGGACCTGCCTTCCACACGGACACTTGACTCCCTTCGTTTCTTCAAAAGAAGGAAAAATGTTGGAAAGGGACCCGCAGGCTGAAAGCAACTATTCTTGAAAATCTCCTATTATTCATTCGCTCACACGAACGGTTGGGGATCCGACATCTCCCACCTCTTATTCCAAAACGGTTAGGTGAGAGTCGGGGATTCATTTAGACCAAAGCCCTCAGGATAAAGCCTTTTTTTTTTCTTTTACAAAAAGGATCTCCTGCTTTTGGAAGCTCACAACCTCCGAACATCTCCGGAGGAGATCTGAAAGGCCGCTTTGCTAAATTGCACACTAAGCAAATAAATAAAGAACGGCGAGATCTGAAAGAAGAAGAAGACATTTTTGTATCCAAATATCTAAAATAAATATTTGCGGGGGTTATTTTTACCTGTGGAAACAGGATGCGCGGCTTTTTATATCACTGTAAATAAACGCTCCGTATCCCCTCTCCCCGAACTACGCCCCTGCGCCGTGGAAGCTAAACCGGCTGTTTACCTTGATGATTACAAATGGGTTTAGCAGCGGGACAGCGTGGTGCCAGGTAGGACATCCTCTGTATCTGAACATCCTGCTGCCATTTCCCCTGCCCACAAGACGAAGACGTGACCGATTTTATTAATGGGAGGGCTACTGGTTCCCAGCACCACATTGTGCCGGACGGCGCTGATAAGTCTCTCGCAGAGATTACTCGCGTAACAAAAACACTTCCTTCCCCGGAGTGTGCTCTGCACGGTGGGAGAGCGGCGATACAGCCCCTGTGGGAACTCGGGGAAAACCGAAGATAAGGAACGTGGGAATGACGGCTCCTCTTCTCGAGTGGGGGTTCAGCTGCCGCCACCCTGACAGGGACCCCGGGAGTTAAGTTGACCCACCCAGGGCCCCAGCGCTAACCGCTGCGCCGCGGTACCGCCCAGCTTGAGCAGCTCATCGGTGTGAAATAGCTGCGGATTGTACATAGCAGGCTGTGGTTAGAATTCAGCACGAACCCCCGGCACATGCTAGATTCCAGGACCCCTCTTAGGATGATCGTTTGAAGAGCAGCTGGAATTTACCGAGCGAGTCTGTACATCACTAAGCTGCGCAAGTGTATTTACACAATATACGTCTCACCTGTTTCTGTACTTTAAAAAAAAAACAAAACAGCTGAGAGATCAATAGTGTTATCAATTCAATGATTGTAACTAAATGGAGAGCTGGGATGGAGTAACCCCCCCCCAGAGACACAGGGATATTCCAGGCCTGTGAATGGGAAACTGGAGACTCCCGTGGGGAAACAAAACAGGGGAATTGTCTTCCCTTTTTATATCTTGTATCCTCAGAGGCCTCTCTTGCAACAACAGGGGACCTCTAACAGGGACTGAAGTGTAAAGTGCAACTCCCGAGTAAACACACAGTCACTGTGCTTCCTGAACGACCAAAGACAGGAGCATGTCTTTCAGCGGGACATATCTGTACGCCGTTCGCTGCTCAGGTCAACAATTTACTGCAGCATGCAAAACATTTCAGATCTGATTTACAGCATAAACTGTGTCCTCCTCAGATGCTGTCGGTCTGATCTGTGCACGGCAAGCATAATCTTGAATGCCTCATTTGAGAGAGATTTTCATTCCAATTCAAAGTGTAACTCCTGAATGGGAAACATTACACAGGGTGCAAAGATAAGAGCACGGGAGGGATATTGTATCCCTTATATCTTAGTCCCTAAGATTTAAACTGGCACTTCCTTGGTTTTGGATAAGAGCCAGGAGATAACTTAAGTACTCTGAAAAAAATGAGCACTCAGACTTACACCAATCATTGTGTGTACATTCTTTCACCAGCTTAAAAGATAAAGTTTCAGTTATGGTGACCACTTACATGACCTCAACTGATTTTATTATTATTAAATCTTGTTTCTAAAAACACAAAAAAAATGGATTTGTCGAAAGTGAACACCCTGACGTGTTCTCTGTGTGCAGCTCAACCATATCTTACCATATCACAAACTCGATCCTCTGCGCTGAACGACAACAATCACAGGGCTTGTCTGATGTATAGCATCTTTTAGAAACTTCCAGAAGTACCCAGATCAGCGAAAGAGGAAAAAGACGCCAGTTATTCAAGGAGTAACTTTGCTGAATTAATTTGGATCAACACTGTCAAAAAGGTCAGTCTAAGAAATACATCTGGAAATGCTTTGAATATAATGCCAACATTACATGCAATAGCAAATGCAATGTATATAAGAAATATATACATTTTTGGGGGGGCTATATGTGTTCCTGTCAAACTCTCAACACTCAGATTATTCAAAAGCACAGCCCAGCACAGGCATTGAACTGGGCTGAGTGATGAAAAGGGGGGCAGTGTGGTAACGTATCACCTCGAGAGACATTCATTATTCTTGGGTTTCAAGGTCAGCAGTTTCCGTGTAAGAACCTGGGAACACCGTTTTCTCACAGTCTGGTCTGGGCACATTTCTGAACACGGCTGCCTGGCCCGAACTTCCCCAGGGGCGAGCCGAGAGAAATTAGACTCTCTGAAACAACAGCAATCATCCCGTCCATCCATTACCGGAGAGTTGTGATCCCCGGTGAGGGTGGCGACGATCCGGAGTCGCTCCCGGAAGCACGCGGAGGGAGGCGGGAGCAGGCCCTGGAGCAGGCCCTGTTATCCCAGCCGGCACACAGAACCTGTCCCAGGACCAGGAGCGGGGGGACAGCAGCGCTATCGGCCGCCAACGGCAAATTATTGTTCTACATAAATGAGTAGGGATATTTAAAAACACGCATTCCAATTTTCAGTGCATCGATTTTTTTTTTTTTAGAAAAACAACATGATTAACATGCTCCTGTTTCTCTTTGGGTTAAATTGCCCTTGGAGGGGTGTTTTTTTTCCCGTGATTAGGCCCTCAGCTCCCTGCCAGTTCCCCTGGGACAGCGGTGATTGCAAGATAAGACTGAAAGGCGGACAATTGGCGGAAGCCGGGAGCTGAGGGGAATGAGCTTCAAGACGTTTTATTTTAGAAGCCGGGCTGCGAAATGCCATTTAGAGGCTCAAACAATTCTGCTCGCGCAGCTTGAAGCCCTTCCTTTAATCCGACCACGCAGCTCACATGCACAAACGGAGCGTAGCAGGGGCAGGACAGCCTGGCTGCAGGGAGGCCAGCAGGCGCTGCCTCCCTGTCCACGGGATGTTCTTCAGTAGGGAGCAAGGGGAGAAGTGAGCAGCTCTTGAAGGGCCATTACTTTGCTATTGTGCTTAAATGTCCAGAAGCTGTTTCGTAAACGAGCAGCGATAGGTTTTTACTTTTCACTAAATAATGTCAAGCTTCTCCAAGAGCAATAATAAGCTAAATGTTTACTCTCGAACAAAGCTTGTTTCACCAGTTTGCAAAGATTTTGGCATGCCTGCTGAATGTATGTATTATACATGTTTCGGCCTTTGTTTAGAACACAAAACTAATTCCTTAGCGAAACACCCAGATTCCTGAGCCCTTCTTGGGTTGACATATTTTGACAGTGTAATTCTTTTCCCATTAAAGAAAACAAACCTACACAGTATAAGAAAAATTGAGGAAATTTAGTAATTCATTCCATGTGATGCATACTACCAGCATATATATTCTTCTGTTTCCCACAAAGCTGAGACTTATTAAAAATAGTCTCCTTCAAGCATTTTTGTAGAATCAAAGCCAGCCTTTCCACTCCTGTCATAAATGAACGGTGCTAAAATTGTAGCAGAATGATGATCTCATTGGTTTACGGGCCTTTCAGTGTAACCTGTTAGAAACCCACTAACACACAACCTCGGACGTCTGCAATAGTTTTAGTACCTACGGCAAACGAGCACAACTAAACCGAGAGTAAAGCCCAAACAGACAAACTTGTGTTTTTCATTTCTAATGTCGTTTTAGTATTCCCGAGAATCAGTGAGTGGAAGTTATTAACTGAAGTTCGGGAAGGACAACAACGACAAGTCAACTTCACTCAGCTGCACCTGATCATCATCACAGAAATTAGCTACATGAACGGAGCTCAGACACCCCATTCATCTCCAGCATCCCTCCTCAACCCATCTGCATCCCTCAGCTGCCCCTGGTCACTCCTCTCTGAATGGGGCCCGAGTTCTCCGTCCTGCAGCCCAGCAACTTCATCCAGACATTCCCAGTGCACCTGCATTGGCTCCTGCATGTCCCCTAGTGAGATCAGAGTGCAGGCGGGATGGGTGCCGGTCTGCTCCACCGGGGTGACTCACCTGGCTGAGCGAACGGCAGGCTGCCCACGAGGGGGACGCTGACAGGACCCCCGCTCCCTCTTCTCCCCGCGAGGGACGAGCCAGGAGCTGCTGCAAGGAAGGGTGAGGGTGCGAGAGGGGAGGTGAGAATGGAGCTCGCAGGTGGGAGGAGCGGGGTATTTACTGTACATGTGGGCAGCCGGAAACAGGCAAGACCGGGGCTTGGCCTCCTCCTGAGCGTCGGTTCAAGACTACATCTGGTGTCTGAAGCTCTAGCGTGCAGCTAAGAAAAGGTTCAGTTTCATATCAGGAGGGGAGGTGGAGGGGGGGGGCTTCTTTTCTTCTGATACCTGCGAAGCTCAAAAGCCGAGATGTGCCACCGAGCACCAGCACAGATGGCACAGGCACAGGCACAGGCCTCAGGGACGATCACAGTGCCCCAGCGTCCAGCGGGATTGGGTCTGCCCTGATCTTTGCCCCCCCCACCCCCGCCAATGTGAAAGTCACACACACCCTTACCGCGCGAAGCCATAAATTCACGTGCTGTAGTTCGTGTTGAAGTTATAACAGCAAGCAAATATCTCTCAGCTGGAAACAAGGTCTGGACTCTTTCAATGACAATCTGTACATGCACTTAACTATACCGTTTATATATTGTAACGCAACGGGGGCTCTGGCGGGCGCCCTTGCCGCATTTAGTCAGCCCCCGACGGTGGAACCCAGGACTCCCGCGTCTCTCTGCAGTGACCCAGCCCGGTGAGCCAAAGAGAGATCTCTCCACAGCCCAGTAGCTGTGGTCCTGCTATCGCAGGGAAGGGCGGCGACGTCACCGCTCTGGTACGCCGGCTCTTACACAGTGCCTGTCGGCCGTAAGCGTTACAATATTTAACCCTACAATACAGGTACAACGGTACTCACACAGGGCCAGAGCCCAGATTGACCCAAGAAATTACATTTGCAGGCTGAGGGCGGAGGAGAACATCAAGATTCCTGTCTCAGTTCACGTTGTATACCTCATCTGTCAGCACCGGTTCCCAACACTTCTCAGACATGAAACGTATTTACACGGCTTCGCATCGAAACAGCGATACTTAATTTGTGTCCTTTATGTTCTCCCACAGGCGTACCGGATTTTATACAAATGGTTTTGGGAGGCATGCGACGCCAGCATCATTTCCTATGGTGTAAAAAAAAACAACACAACTGGCCAAATGAATGACCTCTGATCACGATAAACAGACACGATAAATAGGCTGGGCCTCTGCCAAAAATATTCTAACAATTTCTTGCTCAACCAAAGAAAAGCAGCCAGAGCTCAGTGGAAGAGCTGACAGTACAGCGTTTTCATTTGTAGGCGGCAGAGGAGAACAATGGGCCTCTTCAGCGCAGATGAGATGAATGGAGTTCGGCGTGCGCCAAACGTCAGCAGAAACATTTTCCATTTTCCAGCCTGTGTGCCAGTTATCACCCATTAAAAAAGGAAACAAGGCACTACTGGGAGCCTCTTAGAGTAGAAGGGTGTGGTCTGAAATTCAGAACAGGGTGTCTGCTGTCACGGAGTTAGCTGAGTCTGACAAGTTATAACACTGCGGAGTTCTAATTCTATTCTAATATGATCTAATAATAATTCTTTACATATATATATATAGCGCTTTTCCTGACACCCTGCTCAAAGCGCTTTACAGGTCATGGGGATCCCCCCCACCCCCACCAGTGTGCAGCCCCACCTGGATGATGCTCCAGTCTGCTCCCCACACACCAGCTCTCAGTGGGGAGGAGCGCAGAGCGATGAGATCAATTCATCATTCCACAACCTCTCCACACAGGAGCCTTGATGTGAAACTGTGAACGTGCACAATCACAGATGTCAACTCATAAGTAATCTTAGCTCATTGGCTAACAATGATTCTGCTCGTCCAGTGGCTATTCAGGGGCGGTGTGGTGGCTCTGTGACTGTG